GCCTTAATAATTACCTGTGCTATTTTCGGGGTCCTTATTAGAATTATAGGATAAGAGACCCCAAAGCCATATTCTAATTGTGAAGGCCCCTACATTGGGGTTTAGGGTTGGGCAAGGGATGAGGGTTTCGACTTGAAGCTTAAAGCAGTTGCTACGGCCGCCAGGGCCGCCCCCCCAACCATGAACCCTGAACACATCTGAACCCTAAACCCTGAACCCTCCCTGAACCCTGAACCCATGTAAACCCAACGCCCTCAGCCTTACTCTCAAGGGACTCATATTTTAAGGCTTTTGGGCCCAAAGACCCTATTATACGAGGCTATTGGGCTATTTTGATGCTCAGGGTAAAGGCTTGGATCCAAGGCCTTGGTATTGCTGTGTTGGGGCTGAAGTCAAACGTGGAACGAGCCCTTTCTGAGCTGGAACCTTTCCTGGCCAAACCTCCAAACTCCCGAACCGCCGGAGCCCTAACGACTGAACTTGTCAATCGAAACCCAACCCTAAACCCTAAAACTAAACCCTAAACACTAAACCCCAAGACACGACCCGAAACCCCAAGCCTAAACCCCAAACCCTAAAACTAGACCCCAAACCCTACAGCCCAAACCTAAAGCCTAAAACCTACACCCTCAGCTGGCCCCAAGCCATGAGTCCTACATCCGACTCCGCAATCTGGAAGCAGGGGTAGCCTCGAGCTACAGAGCCCAAGCATCGTTTAGGGTTTAGGGTTGAGGTTTTAGGGCTTAGGTTTTAGGGTCGAGGGTTTAAAGTTTAGGTTTTCGGGTTTAGGGTTTAGGTTTTAGGTTTTAGGGTTCAGGTTTCAGGGTCTAGGTTTTAGGGCTTTGGGTTTCGGGATAACATCTCACGGCTCCAGCCCAAATTCCGTAACACCCTACAGCACTGGACACACGAGGACCCAGACAAGACCCTAAACCCTACAACCCTGAACCCTACCCAAAGTGCATTCTGGCGCCGCGATTTCTTCTCAGAGTCACGTGGAAAGCCAAAGGGAGAGACTGCGTCCACTCCCCCCGCAAGGATCGAGGTCCCTCAGGGCTGAATATAGGGCCTTAATAATTACCTATACTATTTCGGGGGTTCCTTATTATAGTTATAGTATAGCATACCCCAAAGTTTAGGGCTTATAGGGTTTAGGTTTTTATAGTGTAATGTATCCTAAAACCGTGTAAATTAGAATTTACTACACCCTAGACCGTAAACCTTTCAAGGCCTCTGTAGAAATCCTTATAAGCCTTATAGGGCTTCAGGAATGCAAGGTTTGAGGTCGTTGAGTTTAGGGTTTGGGGTTTAGGAGTCAGCTACAAAGAGCTCTCTTTGCTCTGGCTTTTACAGTTGTTTTTACTGGGGCCTAGGGCTTTCAGGGTTTGGGGTGTCATGAGATTTATCAAGGTTCCGGGTGAAGAATGTTGGTTTGCGAGTACTTAGCAGTGAATGGTTGAGAGGTGTTGCTCGTTTGGTGGTCTTAAACCCTAAGCCCTAAACCCTATACCCTAAACCGTGGGGTGTGGGATTCGTAAATCATAAACGTTTGGGCCAAGGGTTCAAGGGTTTGTGGTGTTTGATGGGTTTTGACTGTTGAAAGTCGGTTAACATAGGGGCCTAAATAATTACCTACAGTATTTTGGGGGGTTCTGATTATACTTATAGTATAATATATCCCCAAACCCTCTTTTAATTATTAAGGCCCCTATATTAAGTTGTTGGGCTGGCCTTCGGTGATTGCGCGCTTGTGTCCGCAAAGCTCAGCTTTGAGGTTTTGGTCTGAGTCCTGTGCTAAACTGCTAGGCCTGCGAGTATGGATCTGATACAAACAGCTGCAGAAGTAGTTTGCTTTGCGTTACCCATAGGCCCCATAGTAGTTCCTTTTTGTGGTTTGCATTTAGGATCCTATTAGGTAATCCAAAAACGGAACAACTATGGGGCCTTTGGGTAGTTACAACCCCTAAACCCGGGCCGTGCTTTCGGGGCGGCTTTCCCGAGTCCTCCCTTGTTGAAGAAGGGGAGAAGAAGAAACAACAGCTCTCCCAGATGCCCAGATGCCCCCGATCCACCTTGGGTTTAGGGCTGTAGAGCTTTATAGTATAATGGGCTCCGTCAACCCTAAACCCTTATAGTAGCCCTTGTAGAACCTTTTGAGGAACCCGAAAACCCTATTGAAAGTATGAATATTAAGGTTCTGTGACGGTAAAATCTGCTTTGGGTCTGGGGAGCAGGGCGTGATTCTGGTTTGTGTTTGGGAACGGCCCTAAACCCTAAACCCAAACCCCTAAACCCTCCCTAAGCCCTCAACCCTAAAACGTTCTAAGCCCCAAAATCCTCCAAGAGCCTCGAGCTTACCTTAACACTCCAAAAAACCTGAAACCCTAAACCCCAAACCCCTAAACCCTAAACCCCTAAACCGTAGTGGTTTAGGCTTACTGGGTTTAGGGGAAAACCTTAAACCCCAAACCCCAAAACCCCTAACCCCTAAACCCTAAACCCTAAACCCCTAACCCCTTACCCCTAACCCCCAAACCCCCAAGCCCCTAAACCCCTAAACCGTAAGGGGTTCAGGAAGGACCTGGGGTTGAATTTTCGGCCCTTGGCGCCCTGGTTCCAGGTGATGTCTGCCAAAAAGAAGGCGCCTGGGTGGCAGTTTGGGTTTAGGGTTTAGGGTTTAGGATTTTGGGGGTTTGGGTTGTTGCGGATTGGTGGTTCGGTTTAGGGGAATGTGGGTTTAAGTATGATTTGTGTTTAAGTTTCCCTGATGGTTTAGTGGAGGTAGTTATTCTCGATGAACCTGGGGACGTTCAACAACAGCCCAGGTGTTGCTCAAGGTCATCATCCTAGGTGACAGCGGGCGCGCCGGCTTCGTGATTGGCGGGCAGGATCGAAGGTTGTGTCAAGCTTAAGCCCTAAATCAGCCTAAATCGATCGTGGCGCTTTTTCAATCGTGTTGCATGGAGGGTTTGAGGGTTGAGAGTTTCACGACTCAAGGGATCGGGAGGCGATTTGTTTTGGCTCTTTTCCTCGTGTGGTTGGGAGGGTTCAGAACTCCGTGCGGAGAGAGACCTTCGAAAAGGTTGGGGCTAATGATGTCGAGTTTACCATTGAAGGCTTAGAGTTGGGTTACTGGCTTGGTTTACGGCTCAAGCTGCTTGCAGGCTCGTGTTTGAGGTGTATCTGCCGACATGAAGATGAACATCAAAGCAGCTTGCCCTGCGTTTCCTTTCTGACTGCACTGCATGGCAGGGTGGGCAAGACGTCTTTGATGAACCAGTATGTCAACAAGAAGTTCACCAACCAGTACAAGGCGGAGCATCAAGGTTTCGTAATATAGGGGCCTGAATAATTACCAATAGTATTTGTGGAGGTTCCTCATTATATTAACAAAAATATACCCCCAAACCCTATTCTTATTATTAAGGCCCCTACATATGGGGGCCTCAATAGCTACAAATACTATTTTGGGGGGCTCCTTATTATACTTATAGTATAATATACCGCAAATCCCTATTCTGATTCATAAGGCCCATATATTATGTACTTATACCCATCAGAAAGAAGAGCTTGAAAGCTTAGGCGAACCCGGAGCATCCCGAATGCCAAACCCCGAAGCCGCACGAAGGTGCTGGCTTTAGGGTTTGGGGTTTAGGGCTTGGGGTTTAGGATTTAGGAGTTAGGAGTTTACGCTTTAGGGTTTAGGGCTCATGAGTGTCAAGAGTTTAGGGTTTAGGAGTTAGGAGTTTGGCGTTTAGGGTTTAGTTGATGATACAAATCCTGCATTACCCAGAATAAGGAATGTACCATAGTTCCCGTAGTTAGGGCCCTTAAGGGAATGCAGAATTTATATCATCAACAGTATCACCCTACCATAGTGCCATAAGCAATGATGTGTCCTTATAGTGGCGTAACAAGAGTATGTGATGGAAAGCCAACGTGAGATGCCAGTTGCGTGGAGATAGGACTCTAAGAAAAAGGCGCCAGGATGCCAGTGTTCAGGAACCCAGAGTCGGGTTTAGGGTGAGTGTATGAGTATAATGCTACTACGATGAGATGGGCTGTAAGAACCTTAAACCCTAAACCCTAAACCCTAAACCCTAAGATTATGACGCCTTTGGTTTTATTTCAGTCTCTGGTGTTTCTCTTCATGTTTGAGTAGCCTGCTGTTTCAGGCTTGATGCTCGTTTGCTGCTGTAGCTCTGAGACACCGTGGTTTAGGCTCCCGCGCCCTTGGCCTGAACTCTACCCTAAACCCTAAATCTGGCGAGGCTACAATTGGCGCCGACTTCCTGACTAAGGAGGTCATGATCGATGATAAGTTGGTGACGATGCAGGCTTGTCCGAGCATGCTTTAAAGCAGGTTTAGGAGTTTTGGAGGTGTAGGGGTTTAGGGGTTAGGGGTTTAGCGGTTAGGGGTTTCGGGTTCAGGGGTTTGGGGTTTGGGGTTAAGGCTGCAGGGTCATGAGTCCTGGCTTTGATTCAAGCCTACTAAACTAGATAATGTAGGGGCCTTCATAAATAGAGTATCTCCTTAATATAAGTATAGTATAATATACACCAAAACCCTATTCTAATGATTCAGGCCCCTTTTTTACATCTCCTCGCTCATCTATAGCCCTAAACCCTAAACCCTAAGCCACCCTAAGCCCTAAACCC